AGAGACCATATATATCTTTACGAAAATATGTAAGCTATTCAAGTACAGTTATAAAATTTTCAACTAAACAATTAATCGCAATTTATTCAACTTTTCAAAATTTCAAAGACATTTCTTGAGAAGTTTTTTTGTAGTTACAATAGATTTATTTCAAGCAAAAAAGTGCATACGTATATTTTAATCGATTACTTTTTGAGTGAAAAAAAAATGCTTGTACGATTATTAAAACAAAGTTTTCGCAACGTTTAGTTTAAAATTATTCAACAATGCATTTCTACGTGTATAATTTATTTTATGTAACTTTTTACTTGACGGGACACTTTAAAATAAGTCTTCTAATTAATGTCTCTGAAATATGTTACCAAATAATAAAATTATTCTTTAAATAATTTCATCAAATTGAATTTATTTGATTTGCTCAAAAAATTATTAAAAATATAATACATTTATAGTTGAAATTGGATCAATGTTTTCTTAAAAAACATTTTCAAGGATTAAAACGACATAAAATCTTAGTGTCGAAGAATCAGTATTTTTAATTATTTTAACATATTTTGTAGGCCTATGTGAATGCAAGAAGTATTGTAGATTTCGTAAAAATATGTATTCGTTTTACCTTCTTTCTTCTAGGGTGTAATCTTGATCTTATGAAAAGCAAATAAAATTAATAACTTTCAAAAAGTTAGTGTTTTTTTTTCTTCTTCTTTTTCCCATGACATCTTAAGATGAGGACAAAAAATTATTATGGATTATAAAAAGTAAAAAATATTTTTGAAATACTCTCTGTTAGCAAGAAATAATTGTGTTCCATGTTTAAATTATATTCGAAAAATGAAAGGATAAAGAATAAAAAAAATACTCTCGACGTTCGTATTTTCTTATTTGCCCATCTTAAAGTTTTGTCTTTTATTAAAAATACAACCGAATTATTGTATTAAAATACAAACATTTTTTTAACTTTCTTGGTACATATTTGTAAAACGCTCATTTATCAATTATTTGTGAAAAGATTAATTTACAAACAACGGAATTCCTGTAGTGTCAATGCTTTTAATTAATTTCATATTTATTTTTCTAAACGCAACATATGGACTGGTGTGCCGATCACCTTAAACGCGAGCAAATGGTAACTTAATATCATGCGTATATAACACACATGTTACAAAATTATCGATGCGAGGAAAACACGAGAAATGAAATGTAATTGCACCAGTATGATTATAGTCGCGACCCTTTCAACATTGTTCAAGACACACGTACTAAATAAAAAAAACACCCGTCCCCAGCAATGCGTAATATACAATTGTATATGTTTCGAATGTTCAGGCATGTGTTACGCCGAATTCTCATCGAGGGTGCCCAAGGCAGGCTCCGCCTACGTCTACAGTTACGTGACCGTGGGAGAATTCATAGCTTTTGTCATTGGCTGGAATTTAATACTGGAGTACGTGATTGGTGAGTCGCAGGGGAACCAAAACCAAGAGACTTTCATTGAAATTGATCGTGGGACGAAAATTTCGGTTTTTTTTTTTTTTTTTTTTTTTTTTTTTTTTTTCTTCCTTCCTTCCTTTGTCACAAATGCAACGATACGCGTTTGAAGGATCCGGACGCGCCGTTTCCCTACGTGTACGACCGTATCGGTTGGCCAACCGTCAAGTGGATCGTCAACGTCGGGGCGGTGTTCGCCCTGTGCNTACGTGATTGGTGAGTCGCAGGGGAACCAAAACCAAGAGACTTTCATTGAAATTGATCGTGGGACGAAAATTTCGGTTTTTTTTTTTTTTTTTTTTTTTGTTTTTTTCTTCAAACAAACTTTGCGATTTCAGGTACGGCGAGTATGGCCAGGGGTATAAGCAGCTACATCGACGTGCTGACCAACAACACGATACGAAACGCCCTGCAATCGTCGATGCCGATAAACGTGCCGTTTCTGTCCAAGTATCCCGATTTCTTCGCCCTCGCGATGGTCGCGCTGCTCACGATTTTCCTCAGCATCGGAGTCAAGGAGTCGTCGATGCTGAATAACGTCTTCACCACTGTCAATTTGGTCACCATAGCCATCATCATCGTCACGGGTATTGTCAAAGGTGAGGATCGGTTTTTAAACTAACATATGCTTCACAATGATTAGGAAAACAAAAAACAATGGTAATAGCCTATCGAAAACATTGGGTAAGTAGACAGTGCGTCCTTTTTACGCGGGACAAAAAGAAAAATTGGTGGGTTTGAGGAAAAACAAAAAATGGTTCAATCACCATGTACGTAAACAACTTGATGACAATAATCGGATTGTTGTTTCATCCACATTGGACATTAGTCACATTAATGAATTTCGTTCGATTGAACCGATCTATTCAATGTCTTTTCCGCGACAGGTATATAAATAACGACAAGGGAATTTAATTATCCATACGATGGATAACATAATATTTGTAGCAGTGATGTGTGGAAATATAAGTATAGGTACCGATTTTCCAAATCTCAGTAAAGAAAACAAAAAAACCTTCGAAGAAGAAATCGGTAAAAAGAAAAGTACTGAGACAAAAAATGACCAATAACTTTGCAGCGGACCCGAAAAACTGGTCGATAGATCCGTCATTGGTGCCGTCGAACTTCACGAACGTCGGCACCGGGGGCTTCATGCCCTTCGGCGTGAAGGGCATCATGAGAGGCGCGGCGATCTGTTTCTACGGCTTCGTGGGCTTCGACGCGGTCGCGACCACAGGCGAGGAAGCCAAACGGCCCCAGCGCAACATACCCCTCGCCATCGTCATCTCCCTGACCATCATATTCTTCGCCTACTTTGGCGTATCTACCGTGCTCACAATGATGTGGCCGTACTACGATCAGGTCCGCACATAATAATCTTTTTTTTTTTTTTTTTCTTCCTTCCTTCCTTTGTCACAAATGCAACGATACGCGTTTGAAGGATCCGGACGCGCCGTTTCCCTACGTGTACGACCGTATCGGTTGGCCAACCGTCAAGTGGATCGTCAACGTCGGGGCGGTGTTCGCCCTGTGCACCAGCTTGCTCGGCGCCATGTTCCCCCTGCCCCGAGTTCTTTACGCAATGGCCAGTGACGGGGTCATCTTTAAATTCCTCGCTGTAGTGCACCCAAGGACCATGACACCTCTGCTCGGCACCATGCTCTCGGGGATTCTCACCGGTATGCTATCATCTTGGACAAATCGACCTATACCTTTTTTTTTTTTTTTTTTTTTTTTTTTTTTTTTTTTTTTTTTTTTTTTTTTTTT